GATGAGCATCATCAAGCAACAGTGTCTAAGGTGTGCACTAGCGGCCCACCCCTTTGCCGAAGGTGTATGCTTATGACCAGCCTGCCCGTTCTTTATCCTCGCGTGCAACGAGCCTTACGTCTGACTACAGTTCAGACCCCCAACCAGAAATATTTATAGACGGTCTGGTAAGCGTCTACAAAGGACTGGTCAGTCCGCACACCCCTTCTATCAGCGCAGCAAAGAGCCTCAAAGGACAAAGCAGCATGGCCTGCGTGTACTACTCCCTTAGGTTGGCATGGTGACCGTGACCCGTGCTTCGACCAGGGCCCTTCAGAGGCACCGCCCTCTCCTGCCAGATGCGCCACGGGGAAGAATGTTGTCTCTCAAGGTAGAGCGCTCACGACTCCTTACACAAAAGAGAGGACACTCAATGTTGGGCTCACTTCCTCACAGTAAGAAGAGATTGAGAGGGAAGATAAGGTAAGGGGACAACGTACCTGGAGATAGCTGCCCCCAACCACAGATTTCTCACCAATTGAGCCGACGTGCATTTTGATGACCAGTCACAATGATGTGCCACTTCAGCCAAAATGCCATGTCAGCATGCTCTCATCATTCCACACACATCCGCTGTCGCCACAGCCTTCCAGCCCCTCACCCCTCTACCTGGGTGGGGCTAATCAAGCCAGCGCCAAGGTATCCTCACTGCACAGAAGCTTCGTCCACGCACCAAGTAACCAAAACACTAGCGCCAGAATGGCGATATCCGAACCAGCTCGGATACCAAATTGCAAGGAATAAGAGCAAGAGCAATATACAGAAAACCAAGTTGCGAAATTACACAGATGCCCAAGTAGTCATGAACGAGCAGAGAGTGCAAATGCACCGAGATTCCATCCAGATAAAAGCAATACAATGGACTCACGAGCCAATGNACACAGATGCCCAAGTAGTCATGAACGAGCAGAGAGTGCAAATGCACCGAGATTCCATCCAGATAAAAGCAATACAATGGACTCACGAGCCAATGTCCAAGCCCTCAGGCCACACCAACACCGTATCCAATGTCGCTCCTACTCTGTCTGGCGCCCAGCACCCAGCCTACACTACTCGCGTATCCTACTTCACCAGCGTTCACGCAACAGGCTCACTTCGACCTTAAAGACCAATGCACATGACGTCAACACCATGGCTGACCTCCCTCATGCACCAGGTATGTATCTCGTCTCTCCTCATCACCCCTGACTTCCCACAATGTGCATTCTCAACACCCAAAGACCACCATCGCCATCCAGACCTGCGCCAAGCAACCCTGCTATGGCTGCCATGCGCCCACTGCCCAGCAGTGCACCTCACACCTCAGCGCCCGTGCGCGCGACCCAGCCGGCAGCTTCGTGCAGACCACGAAGTTGCAATGCAGCAACGTGGCCCCATTGCCTGCCTAGGCCAGAATGGCTTCCCAGCAATGCTCACTTTCCTATATGGAGAGTGAGCTCAGCCTCTGCCGCCTCTGGGCCTGGCTGGGCGAGCATCCAGTAGCTTCCAGTCGGGCCTCAGTGTCTGCGTCCAGACCCAGTTGTGGTTACAGCCCTGGGTCCTTTACAGTCGGCCACGTCCAGGTAGTCCACGGGCCTCCACATGTTTGCTATGATCTCATTGGCTCACGGCCACTTTGTGCCGACAATGCTGCGATCTCATTGGTCTGTGGCTGTTGTATGATGTGTCGGCCTCTGAAAGCACACGCCCAGGGCATTAACTGTACGGGGTCCTGGGCTCAACTGCCAGTCGAGGCTGCAATTTCCGGAAAGAGCCTGGAGAGGCTCACGTTGCTCTGTAACCAACTGGCATGCTGCAACTGTCTGATACCCACATATGGAAAAATGTCAAATGTTGGCCTCTTGTGAATATTCAGGCC